AAAAAATCAAAAATAATGTTCACCCCCTTTTCCTTTACTCGCGGGGTATCGTTTTCATTAATTTAGCGATTTTTTTTTAATTGCATTTCTTTCGTTTTGTATAATACAATTAAAGTAATTAATTTTCCCGCCTTACTTGTGAAAGACCCTGGGCGGGTCAGAGGCAGTGAGGCTGTTTCCTGCCCCCCTCCCCCCACTCACTTCACCACAAGGCTTAGGACGCCCAGGAGCAGGATAGTTCCAAAGACACAGAGGAGCAGAATCCTGGCTTCCCGAAGATCGTGACTTCCTGCGGGAACCCAGGAAACAGTGAAAGATGCTGGAGACCACACCCCTGGACACTGGGGGAGCCCGAGAGCTCAGAGGCCTGGGTGAGGTGAGGCAGGCAGGGGTGGGGAATGAGGACCTGGGAAGCAGCGCTTTTGGGGCCAGCAGAGCACCTCAAAGCCCTCGCAGGTGGAGCAGTTGTACAGGATGGTGCTGCCCCCTGCAGGAGACAGCGGGACAGAGCTGGGGAGGGGAAGCCCCGACTCCACCCTTGGACTGTCCCACTTGCTCCCGCCCCCTGCAGGCCCTCCTGGGAACCCGGCCCCTGGTCCTCACGGCCTCTCCTTCCTACTCACAACAGGCGGGACTGCAGAGAGCTGAAAGGAAAGACAAGGAGGGGTGGGCACCGATGAGCCTCAGACACACACCCCTTTGCCCCAGACCCCAGGCCCTCCTGGGTCCCTCCTCCCATCAGTACCTTCCCTGTTGTACTCAGGAAACTTGGTCTCCTGAAGCCATTGCCAATATAGAGGGAGCGAGGAGAAAGACCTTTTGATCTCTGGGGAGGCAGAGAGCAGCCATTCTGCCCGGGGCCTCACCGTACCTGTGGACCTCCACCCTTTTACCCAGCACGTCCCGATCACTCCCTTCTGTGTCCACCTCCCTCCACCCTTCCCTGCCTGCCAGCCCCCTCCTCCCAGCCCCCTCCTCGGTGTCCACCCAAGCCCCTGGGTTGTGCCTTCCCCAGTGACCTCACCCATGACCCTCAGGACCCTGTGCGTCTTCTCCGTGACCTTGTTCAGGGACACCTCATCTGTGGGGATGGGCAAGGACCATGATTTCCTCATTAGCCCAGAAGAAGGTTCTTCCTTGACTTGGCCACGGTCCAAAGAAGCCCTCCCAGAGGGAGAGGCCAGTGAGTCCAGGGACTCAGCTGAGGGGCACGGCTGGGAAGCCACAGGCTGCGCTGCGTGGGGCATGGGGGTGACTACAGCTGAGCCCGTCCCTGCAGGTCTGGGCTTACCTAAGGCAAAGGTGGAGAAGTTCCAGGAGGCCTCACAGTCCTTCCACTGGGCCTCTATCTGGCTGCAGAGCCGAGCCAGGCGGCCCGACAAGCCATGCGCTGGGAGGCGGCAGAAGAGACAGGCCTGGGCAGCCTCCAGGACAGCCACACTGAGTACCAGCATCCACATGAGGCCCAGTGGGGGCGCCGGCACCACCTGGGATAGGAAGGCTCTGTGATCCTGGTTCTGGCCCTTTGCCTGAAAGTTGCAGAGTTCCAGAACAGTTGGAGGTTCTAGAGCATTCCAGAACAGTGCCACTGCTCCTTCCCTGGCCTGGGTGAACCGGGGGCCCGAGGGACTGGGGACCAGAAGACGACATTGATGTGCTGATGGGGGAGGGGCAGAGAAAGCAGGACTTCTGTTGCGAGGGAGACAGCACTTGACAAGTTTGTGGTTCCAAAACCAACTTTATTTTTCTTCTTGTGATAAATAATAAGCAACTCCCCAGAGAAGCTGTTCATGAATATCCCATCCCCTCAGAGATGCAAAAATCCCATCCCTTCCCATATCCTCGCCGACTCTCCCAAACTCTTCTCTCTAGCTCCTCTCTGCTCCGAGCAGCCTTGAGTCTTTCCCCAGCTATCTCCTAGCAACAGGCCCACGGTTGCCTTAACAACCAAGAATTCCATAAAGGTCTCCAAGGGCCCGCTAAGCCCAGTGACTTCTCTTACCCCTCTCACCAGGAAGATCCCAGTGACTTAAATCCCAACAGGCCCCTCCTGCATCCGTGGTGACGTGAATGCACGTGTATGCATATACATACACACCCCTATGGTTAAACTATTAATTTTCAGTCTACTCACACCCACAGACACACCTGGTGCCCAAACAGCTTCTGAGCAACCTCAAACAGGCCTGGACATGCAGAGACCACAGAAAGACCAGCACACAGACACCACTGCCCGCGACACAGATGGAAGCCCGGATGTCAGGGACTCACACGTCAGTCAGACACACACAAACACGCACGTACACATGAAGGAAGGTAAGCCAAGGCCCAAAAAGATGCTGCCCTCCTCCCCATGGCCAGCTCCACCATCAATACCAGATCCTTTAAAAAACGTGGGTGTCAGAGGGATGCTCCACCCCATAGTGAATAGGGATTCTCCTAGCTCCCTTCTGCAGCCTAGGGTGGGGTGTAGCTGTTCCGTCTCCCTCAGTAGGTGACTCGGGACACAGCAAAGACTCTCCCTCCCTATGTTCCTTCTTATGTCATCGGTCAGGCCAGGCCAGGCCACTCAGCTCCAGGAGAAGTCACAGTCCAGGAGACCACATTAGAGCAATCCAAAGCCCCTCCTCCTTCCAGGCCTGTGTCCCTGCATTGTTCTGCTAGGCCTAGCCTGGGCAGAGAAGTGTCCCCACTTTCCCAGACTCCTGAATACTGAGCTCCCACCAAGGACACTGGAGGTCCCCGGGCTCAGGCGAGAATGAGCCAGGGCAACCTTCCGGCCCTCCCAGGATCAGCACCCGTCCAGCCCCTCGGTACCGCTTGTGAGCCCTCAGTGGGCTTGGGTTGGGGAGTCCTGCCCACATTTGGGCTCCGGTCAGGTGCCGTGGGACCTCTGACTCACAGCCCCAAAGCAGAGCTAGGAAGGGGCTTCAGGGGAGCCTTCATCCCCTTTGCTGTCCCCTTCTTCCGCCCCCCACCCCCCTACAGTCAAACCAAAGGCAGTATTCCCAGTTTAGTTCTTAGTGTCGAACAAAGCGCAGAGATCTGGAGTTGAGGAGGTCTTCAGGGTCAGGGAACACGGAGTCTAGACGGAAGCCATGCTCCAGAGCCACCCGGAGCACCTCCTCCAGGAAGCCTGGTGTGCCCACCACTTCCCGTCGCTCTCCCGGCCCCCCAGTCCACAGTGGCTGCAGCCCCAGTTTCCTGTACTCCACTTCCGGAAGTTCCGTGGGGCGGGGGGCCCACTCCAGACGAAAGTGTGGTCCCCGCTCTGCTCTCTCCTCATCGGCCACACCAAATCGGGCCCTCAAGGCACCCAGACACTCTTGGTCGGTGCAGAAGAGGTTGGCTCGGAAGGTGTCCACCTGGGCAGAGCTCAGCTCGTAGTGGTGGGGGCCCTGGCGCGCAGAGAAGTGCACCACGCGGGGGCTGGCATCCACATCTGCGTGGAGCAGGGCAGCTGTGGGTGCCGGGGTCCCCTGAGAGGCCTCCAGTTCCCGCAGGGCATCTAGGAGGGGCTGGATCTGGTAGAAGTCGGCCTCTGCCCTGAGAAGCGCTGTCTCCCCATATCCCAGGGGCAGGTCCAGGCGGCCCAGCCGCAGGAAATTGAGAATGTGCTGGAAGGCCTTGCCATCCCGGTCGATGAAGTAGTAGTGGGCACCTCCCTGGGAGTTGAGGTTGGGGGGAATAGGGGTGTCAGCCCTAAACATGGGCCCCAGCATGGAGTCTGGGAAGCGAGTCATGTCTCCAAAGTGGTGGAATATAACGTGCCCTCACATTCAGGGTACGAGGCCCCCAAAGGAGGGGGG